CTGTCACACAGGCTGGAGTGCAGTGGCACCATCTCGGTTCACTGCAACCTCCATCTCCTGGGTTCAAGCGATTCTTATGCCTCAGTCTCCCGAGTAGCTGGGATTACACGCACATACCACTATGCCCGACTAATGTTTGTATATTTAGGAGAGACAGGGTTTTGCCATGTTGGCCAGGCTTGTCTCAAACTCCTGGCCTCAATTGATCCATCAGCCTCGGCCTCCCAAAGTGCTGAGATTACAGGCATGAGCCACCCTGCTCAGCCAGGTATTTTCCAAATTTTCTTTAAAGTACATGTATTGCAAAGTATATGTGTTAAATATGTATTGATATAATAGTTTGGATCTGTGTTCCCACCCAAAACTCTTGTCAAATGGTAATCTCCAATGTTGAGGGTGAGGCCTGGGGGCAAGTGATTGGTTTAGTATCATCTACTTGGTGGTATCCTCTTCTCACAAGATCTGATTGTTTAAAAGTGTGTCACGGGCCGGGCGCAGTGGTTCACACCTGTAATCCCAGCACTTTGGGAGCCCAAGGTGGGCAGATCACGAGGTCAGGAGATCAAGACCATCCTGGCTAACGTGGTGAAACCCCATCTCTACTAAGAATACAAAAAATTAGCCAGGCGTGGTGGCAGGAGCCTGTAGTCCCAGCTATTAGGGGAGGCTGAGCCCAGAGAATGGCATGAACCCAGGAGGCGGGGCTTGCAGTGAGCCAAGGTTGCACCACTGCACTCCAGCCTGGGCGGCAGAGCAAGGCTCTGTCTCAAAAAAAAAAAAAAAAAAAAATTGTGTCATGGCCGGTCATGGTGGCTCATGCTTGTAATCCCAGCACTTCAGGAGGCCCAAGTGGGTGGATCGCTTGAGCTCAGGAGTTCAAGACCAGCCTGGGCAACATGGCAAAACCCCGTCTCTACTAAAAAGACAAAAAAAAAGTAGTCAGGTGTGGTGGCACACACTATAATTCCAGTTACTCCAGAGGCTGAGACATGAGAATCACTTGAACCAGAGACATGAGAATCACTTGAGCCAGGGAGACAGAGGCTGCAGTGAGCAGAAATTGCACCACTGCACTCCAGCCTGGGTGACAGAGACCCTGTCTCAAAAATAAATAAATAAATAAATAAAAGTGTGGAGAATCTCCCCTTGTTTTCTCTCTTGCTCCTATTCTGCCCATGTAACATGCCTGCTCTGCTCCCTGTTTGCCTTCCACCGTGAGTGTAAGTGTCCCCTCCTCTGAGGCAGAGCAGACACTAGTGCCATGCTTCTTATACAGCCTGTGGAACTGTGAGCCAATTAAAACTCTTTTCTTTCTAAATTATCTCATCTCAGGTTTGTTTTTTTTTGTTTGTTTTTTGTTTTTTGTTTTTTGACATAGGGTCTCACTCTGTCACCCAGGTTGGAGTGCAGGGGCATGATATTGGCTCACTGCAACCTCCACTTCCCAGGCTCAAGCGATCCTTCCACCTCAGTCACCTGAGTAGCTGGGAACATAGGCACACACTACCAACTATGTCTGTCTAATTTTTTGTACTTTTGGTAGAGCTGGGGTTTTGCCATGTTGCCCAGGCTGGTCTTGAACTCCTGAGCTCAGGCCATCCACCTGCCTTAGCCTCCCAAAGTGCTAGAATTATAGGCATGAGCCACCTCATCCGGCCTTCAGCTTCTTTCTTTCTTTCTTTCTTTTTTTGAGACAGAGTCTTACTCTATTGCCCAGGCTGGAGTGCAGTGGCATGATCTCAGCTCACTGCAACCTCTGCCTCCCAGGTTCAAGCAATTCTCCTGCCTCAGCCTCCCAAGTAGCCAGGATTATAGGCGCCTGCCACCACACCCAGCTAATTTTTGTATTTTTAGTAGATACGGGGTTTCACCATGTTGACCAGGACCTGACCTCAGATGAGCTGTCTGCCTCGGCCTCCCAAAATGCTGGGATTACAGACATGAGCCACTGTGTCCAGCCAGGTATTTCCTAATAGCAATGTAAGAATGGACTAATACACATATCAAAGAGAAAAAAAAAAATTAAAAAATCGAACTGCTGTCACATACAACCCTGTCACACCTGCAATCCCAGCACTTTAGGAGGCTGAGGTGGGAGGATTGCATGAGCCTAGGAGTTTGAGACCAGCCTTGGCAACGTGGTGAAATCCGCTCCCTACAAAAATTTTAAAATTAGCCAGATGTGGTGGCAGGCACCTGTAGTCCCAGCTACTGGGAAAGCTAAGTAGGCGGACTGCTTGAACCCAGGAGGTCAAGGCTACAGTGAGCTATGATTAAGCCACTGCACTCCAGCCTGGGTAACAGAGCAAGACCCTGTCTCAAAAACTAACTAACTAACTAAACTAGCTAAATAAATAAAAAGTGCATCTAAAAACATTCAATTTGAAACATTCATTTGAAAACATATTTTTAAAGGGTTGAAGTTGGTTAGAAAGAGCTGTGGATTGGAAACTTAAGGGGGCAGCTGGTAGACATCACACACCTGGCTCAGGCTCGCATATTGCTGGCTACCTGCTCAGCACCCATCCGCCTTCCTCCTTTCCGAAGGACTCCTGTTCTGAAGGACTCCTGGTCAACTCACTCTCAGCTCCAGGTCTAAGGGTAACCAGACTCCTTGCCACTCATTGGTTTAGGAATGAGCATGAGACATAATTCATAACAAGGCAAAGGAAAAAAAAAACATCTGCTGGGCTTTCTGAGAACATTCTCATCAGTTCTTCTGGAAGCAATTGTCTCTATTACTCCCAGATGTCCAGCAGGCTGTGTGTCCCAGAGCCATTCAGCCCAGAGTGACACAGAAACAGACCAGGAGAGGGGGACTGAGATGCTCCCAAGGTCCTGCCACAGGACCTCCAATTCCATGCACAAGGGCAGCTCAGCTTCTGTCACTTGCAGCCAAGACATCCTAACTAGTGGTGGCCCAATGGTGCCATCTCACCACTGCAGGCTTGACACACTTTTAAAGTTGTATTTCCTACAGTTCTGTTGTTTTCCCCAGGACTTGCTACATAATTTGCAGGGCAAATTATGTGCATGTGAAAACGTAGGGTCTCTAGTTCAATAATTATTAAGAATTTCCTGCCGGGCGCGGTGGCTCAAGCCTGTAATCCCAGCACTTTGGGAGGCCGAGACGGGCGGATCACAAGGTCAGGAGATCGAGACCATCCTGGCTAACACGGTGAAACCCCGTCTCTACTAAAAACACAAAAAACTAGCCGGGCGAGGTGGCGGGCGCCTGTAGTCCCAGCTACTCGGGAGGCTGAGGCAGGAGAATGGCGTAAACCCAGGAGGCGGAGCTTGCAGTGAGCTGAGATCGCGCCACTGCACTCCAGCCTGGGGGACAGAGCAAGACTCCATCTCAAAAAAAAAAAAAAAAAAAAAAAAGAATTTCCTGATGGTGACAGCAGAGCATAAAACCAAAGGCAGAGCCCATCCAAGCCTGGGGCCCTGTGAGACTGAATGCATCACACACACATGAAGCCAGTCCTGACCTTGATTCTTGTTTTGTTTTTGTTTTAAGACAGGGTCTCACTCTGGTTGCCCAGGCTGGAGTGCAGTGGTGAGGCTCACTACAGTCTTGACCTCCCAGGCTCAGGTGATTCTCCCACCTTAGCCTCCTGAGTAGCTGGGATTACAGGTGTGTGTCACTGCGCTCAGCTACTTTTTTTTTTTTTTTTAATTTACTTTTATTTTTTTTAGACGGAGTCTCGCTCTGTCACCCAGGCTGGAGTGCAGTGGTGCAATCTCAGCTCACTGCAACCTCCACCCTCCGGGTTCAAGCAATTCTCCTGCCTCAGCCTCTGGAGTAGTTGGGGTTACAGGCGTGCACCACCACGCCTGGCTAACTGTTCTGTATTTTTATTACAGAGGGGTTTCAGTACATTGGTCAGGCTGGTCTGAAACTCCTGACCTTAAATGATCCACCCATCTTGGTCTTCCAAAGTGCTGTGATTACAGGCATGAGCCACCTCGCCTGGCCATTTTTTAATTTTTAGTGGAGATGGAATTTTGCTGTGTTGCCCAGTTGGTCTCAAACTCCTGGACTCAAGCAATCCACCCGCCTTGGCCTCCCAGAGTGCTGGGATATAGGTATGGGCCACTGCACCCAGCCTGTCCTTGATTCTTATCAAGGAAAAGTTCTCCCTGGCCTTATGACTTCAGTTACCTTGGATCAATAGTTGACATTTCATGCTCAAGGTGCAAACTTGTTTTTCCAAACCCTTCCTTTTATAAATCTTATCAGCCTATACATTTGAATATGTAGGCTCAAACCTTTACTCCTTAATCTCTCCTACCCTCCTCCCTGCCTTCAAAACTTCTGATTCCCCATCCTAGATAATAACACCACCATCTACCAAGTGACCCATTTTGTACACCTCCTTGTTTCACTTTCACCACATCCTCTCCTCAAGTCCTGTCAATTCCACTTCTGTAATGTGGTCCAGGCACTGCTTTGGCCTAGCATCCATTCCATGGTCATTAATTTGGGCAAAGCCTCTGCTGAATCTTCACAACAGCCTCTAGTCTCCCTCTGTCCCACTTTAGGCCACACTGCCGCCAGAAGGATCTTTTTATAACACAGATCTCAGCACGTCATTCATCTGCTTCAAAGTCCTAGGATCACAGACGACCCCTTTCAGAGAATAACTCATCAAAATTATCTCTCTTTTGGACAGCTATTTAAAAAGAAGAGTCATACTCTCAGAGATCCTGTTATTCCACCTCTGGCAATCAAACCCAGTAATGTGAATTAAGGAAAAGGCTCATTGTACAATGATGGTTGATCTGGTTTGGATATTTGTCCCCTCCAAATCTCATGCTGAAATGTGATCGCCAGTGTTGGAGGTGAGGCCTGGTGGGAGGTGTCTGGGTCATGGGGGCAGATTCCTCATGAATGGCTTGGTAGCCCCCCAACAATAATCTGTGAGTGCTCACTCTATTAGTTCATGCGAGATCTGGGTGTTTAAAAGAGCTGGCATCTCTCTCGCTCCCTTTCTTACCAGGTGACACGCCTGCTTCTCCTTTGCTTTCCGCCATGATTGTAAGCTTCCTGAGGCCTCACCAGAAGCAGATGCTGGCACTATGCTTCTTGTACAGCCTGCAGAACTGAGAGCCAAATAAACCTCTTTTCTTTATTAATTACTCAGCCTCAGATATTCCTTTATAGCAAACAAAACAGCCTAATACAAAGTTCATAACAGCAAATAGTGAAGAATTTTGAACAACAGCAGCTAACTCATATTGAGTGCTTGGTATACAGCAAGCATGTGCTAAACACATTTCATAGCATTTAATTCTCGAAACAACTCTGTAAACATGTAGGACTGGGAGGCTAGGAATGATTAAGTGCCTTACCCAAGGTCCCACTATAAGTGACCTCACATTCTCTAACCCAGGTCTGTCTGACACCCAAGTTCATACTTTTACCTACTACAGTTTTACCTACTACAGGTAATGACTAAATAAGTCACTAGTCACGTACTTGTGGAAAGTTAATGTTAGAAATTAGTTACAGAACTGGACATGGTATCTCACGTTGTAATCCCACCACTTTAGGAGGTAGAGGCAAGAGGATCGCTTAAGCCCAGGAGTATGAGACCAGCCTGGGCAACATAGTGAGACACTGTCTCTACAAAAAATAAACAATTGGCTGGGCATGGTGGCATGTAGTCCCCGCTACCCAGGAAGCTGAGGAGGGAGGATCACTTGAACCCGGAAGGTTGAGGCTGCAGTGAGCCATGATTGTGCCACTGTACTCCAGCCTGGGCGACAGAGCAAGACTGTC